TCTACACCTTTGTTGTCATTTCATTGGAAATTATACGTTGTAAGAAGTCTAGTTTAAGTCTGCTTTAAGCTTCAACTAGCATAATGAAACCTGAAGGTACTGACCACAAAAGAAAGTAAAATAATATGTGATTTTAATGGATTAAAATCTAATATTGTCAGAAGGTACCTAACAATACTGCTTTTCATTTCTGCCCATACTTTGGAGTACTCTGATTCCTATGGCCAAGCAGAATGGCTATCTTCTCCACCGTATTTACATCAATAATAATAGAAAGAAAGGGTAATGGAGAGGTTCTACAAGCAAAGGGATACTGTGAGTTTTTGGCTCCTGAAAATTGCAGAAATGCAGCTCTGGATTGGGCACAGTGAAAACAGACTCTATGGATTGGTAGAAAAAAAGAAGTTTCTAAACTAGGAGAGTTCTGAGACAATATTCTTATGAGCTTAGTGGAGACAAAAACACTTTTTTGCTTATAAAATGGGACTTGAAGTGACAGATTTGAACAGTTGAGGTTGGCATTAGAAAATGACAGGACTGAACTCACAAAGAGATGCTTGCAAGTCCCATGTTTCTCTAAGCACAAGGAATGGTGCTGTTGTTCTTGGGCAGAACTCTGGGAAAACAAGATTTGGAACAGTAAAGCTGTTCAGTGGCAGTGTTATTGAACAGGGCCAGCACAATTTTTTGTGATTGAGGGCTTAGCACTATAACAGTGAAGCATGGCAAAACTGTAGAAGGGTAGACGACTTCTTTCTCAAAGAACTCTGGCCTAAATCTAATAGTCTTAAATTATGGAATGATGCATAATCGTCTGGAAAGATGATTTTTTTTTAAAGTAGAACATCATTTCATAAACATAATTTATTGGTGCTCTAAGTTTTCAAAGAGCTTTATGTGTGGCATTGTGCTATGTAGATGACTGTCATCTACATTATAATCACAATAGAACCACATTTGTAAGAGCCTCAGCTCTCTACAGAGGTATATATAACCTACTGGCCAGGCACCACTGTCTGTTATGATTTGGACAGCTGCTCTCAGCTCTACATGTTCTAGATCAAATGTTCCCTGAGTACATTACAGGAATAGTTTTATTCCAAGGCTAGAATTGTGAAAAGGGTAAGTTTTGATCCAAAATGACACTTCTAAGTTTGAATTTAATTCAGAATTTTATGTATGTGTATATATATATACATATATATCTATATAAAATACATAACTATGTTTCTGCACAGATACTCACAATTATTCAATATCTACAGTACATGAATCACTGACATTTTAATGTGTCTATAAATAAATAGAATATTTATTATAAATTATTACTATAAATAGTAAAGCATATTTTAAGGAAAAGAAAGATATGCTCTTTTCTTAAACTCCATTCTTAACAGTTTTTAAAGGATATTTGATAACTGTTATGATAGCCACTACCTCACTGACTATCTGAAGACCTGTCCATCATAGTGGTATCTGAACAGCAAAAACTCTCTCACACACATGTTCAGTATGTAAAGTCTTTCTCAGGATATTACTGGAGGGAAAAAGGCTGTTATCTATGTAGTTTTGTTCCAGTTCATTAGTGACTGAAAGTCACTAATTACTATCTGACAGATGTATAAAGGTTTATGTACAGCTTTTAGTTGTCTCAGTTTGGTTTATAGTGTACATACGTCCACATTCAGAAAGGACAAAACAAAGTAAGACTGAAAACATAGATAAATTTAGGATGAAAGTCTTTTGATGAAAGTCTTTGCCAAGAATGTGAGACCTGGCTGAAAATCTGAACTGATCACTTGCCATGCTTATCATCCTAGTAGTAGAAGATGGATGGTATTTACAGAAGCATGATTTTCTCTCACAGATGGAAAGCATTTCTTACTAGGACTGAGAGATGACATATTTATCTATTGCTATTGATAGAATATGGACTGCAAGCGACACTTTTGCTTCAAAACAAGAAAATAGAACCATCCCCTCCAAAGAGAATCATGTCAGAAGCAGTGCTCTCTACTGTTCCCCATATTTTCTAGATGCTTCACCTCAGCAAGCCTCAGAGACTTGACAAACTATCTGACTGAGAAACAGAAAAAGGCAGAGGAATGCATGTGCAAAACAATGGAGAATACCACTCATGTCATTTTACATAGTTTGCTACAGTTCTTTCAACAGAAAGAAAGGTTCAGCATCTGTAAGTAACAAGATCTAGGTAGTCAGTTTCTTTTACTCTTTTTGTGAAAAACAGATTTCACTTTGTGTACTTTACTGAAAATTTTGTAAATGCTCCCACACATGGAATTAAACTGGTGCTTCAAGATAAAGTAAACCTCAGGGTGCTAGAGGAATATATGTTTGCGCAGTGCTGTGGTAGAAAGCCAGGGCATGTCTGATCAACCAGCCATTAGGCAGGACAGGCTGGGGGCAGTCAGAGCAGCTGCGGGCACCCTGTAAGGTGATGGAACAAGTCTGACACATCAGCCCACGTGAGGCACCCTGCAGGCTGCCCTATGGTATTTCTGCATCAAGGACCCCTTCCAAACAGAGTACTGGGCCATAGGCTGAGGAAATTGGTTATCATTAAGAATCATTAGCCCCACAGGCCCTACTTAGATTCATCACAAGTTTGGAAGTAGCAGGTGCCCTTCCTCTGTTGGCATGAAGGTCAGAGTTTGCTTCACAGTGTGGTTATGATATTAACAGCATCCCAGTTCACTCTCAGAACTTGGTCCCATGTCCCTATGTTTCTCAATGTGGAATATACTTGTTTGTATCCTTGAAGAGGAAACCCCAGATAGTTTGTATACGAGTGCACATCAAGTGGGTAACACAAGAATAGATGTGCTATTTTTGATACTTAGCATTTGGAATAAAATCCTACAATACTTCAATGGGACACATATTCAACATAGTTGAACAATGACCTAAAAATGTCTCTATAGTGGTGAAACTGATGGTAAGATTACTTCACTGATAGTATTAATGAGGTTAATTGAAAATGAATCCAATTTTTCCTGAGATAAAATCATATAGTATGGACATGTGAATGTCTGAATACTTTTAGTTTGAATACACACAGAACTGACTAATTGTTTAGCTTTAAAATTATGACATTTATGTATCTTTTAAATTTTTACAGTTTTTTTTTTTTTTTTTAAATTATTTTTTATTTTTTATTTTTTTATGTTTAGCATTAGTATTCCTGCATAACCAAGCAGAGGAGTAAGTTTATTTATTTTCCTTCTGGCAAGCTGAATTTTTATGTAAACAACTGTTCAGGAACTAAACTAACAAGCGAACAGAACACATAAATGATGGGGTAGGTAGGTAGGTAGTAAATGACTGGCAGCTGCCAGAGTATTAGCAGTTATAAATGTCATCAAAAAGAGACCAATTTGGATAGAGAAAATTGGATAAAAGATTACTACTGCTACTACTAATGATAATGATAATAATAATAATAATAATAAAGATATTTCAACATAATAATAATATTAATAAAGTTATTTTAACATAATCTATACAAAATAATTTGTTAATTTGAGTTTAAATTACATTTTTCACCCGTAGCATCCATGGTCAGTTTGGTAACGCTGTAAAGCAAGGTAAAAGCAACCATGCACTGCATGGTTCTGGATTATAACCTTCTCTAAATTGTTCTGGATAGGAATTTAAAAAGACCTCCTGCTCACAGCATCTGAGTAAAAAACAAATAGTGTTAAGGTGAAATGGTCCAATGGTCCTTTACACTTTTTACTTTTTTATTTAAAGAGGCATTCTTCTGTTTTCTGGCCTCTTCTGTCCCCATAGTAACTACTCGAGAGAGGACTGGTTGATAACATATCCTTCCATTGCTTCAAGTTAATGGTTCTTGATGTGAAAATGGAGAACAGTTCCAAGCATCAAGCATCATGTTTTTGTTGTACAAGCAGCGCGTACTTGGAGAGTTCACTTGTCCTGATGCCTTCTCAGTACCAGTGCTTCCAAACATCACTCACTACACTGAGCAACATCAAAACAGCACTTTATACACAGCATTGCTCAGCTCCTGTGGCAAATCATAAAACACCAACCTCCTTTGCTCTCCCTAGTCAGACAGAATTAGCATATGACAGTAATGTACACATTTTTGCCACTTAAAGCACCTGCAACCTTCACTAATCCTCAAAATACTAAACATTATTTAAAGTCATATGATTGTTTAAAGACTACAAGTTGTAAAAGATTTTTTTTTTTCTTGTCTCTAAAGCCCAGACAGAATAATTCTGCATTATTTTTTCTTTTGTTTTGTTGATTACAGATCAGTTACCGATTCTAACAGCCTTAGAAAATATCTAACAAATGAGTGAATACAGTCAAATGAAGTGCCAATTAATGCTAAGATCATTGCAAAAGTTCATCAGTTTCTGCATGCTGCCCTGTACCGCTTTGATGTTTAGGGCAGAAGACAACTGCTAGCTTTGCTTGACCTTCTCCAAAGGTGTCAGTGAGCTGAAACAAGAATGACTGACAGTACAACTAAACAGCATGGCAGCCCCTAGCAAAATGCAGGTGCCCTGTGTAGTTCATCCCTTCCCTGTCAGAAAGCAGCATCACTGGGGTCACAGAAGGGTTTAGAGTTACAGTGGGAATTTGCTGTGACTGTCCTGATTGTGCTGCAGTCTGGAGAACCACAGCCTGAGGAGACAGAAGGGGGAAAGCCAATGCTGCTGGGGGCTCCTGCTGGAAAACTGCATCGGATGCCCTCAGTCACATTGCTTCCGAAGTTGGACAGGGACAGCCATCTCGCAGCCAGATGCTGCCTGCTAGCAGCCATCTTGCCAAGACTCCCATGGAGGCGGCCATCTTTTCCGCGCCGTACACATGGGGGCAGCCACCTTGGGACCGCCTCCAGGTCAGCTCCAGGTTGGCGGCCATTTTGGTATAGGGTAGGGTAGATGTGTACTCGCTCTTTCCTCCCTTAAGCAAAATGGCGGCGTCGGCGCATGCGCGAAAGCAGGGGGCCCAAGCCGCGGGCCGGTGATTACCCCGCGGGCTGTGGCGGTGCGGGGTGCACGTGCCGCTGGGCGTACCGGGCTCGCGGTCATCATGGGCGAGACTGAGAAGCTGTATTATGTGTATAGCTGCGACCTGGATATGAACGTGCAACTGAAGATGTGAGTGAGAGGAGCTGGGGCTTCAGCGCTGTCCTGCTCCGCTCGGGACGGTCGGGGGTGTGTGGGGCGGCCGCAGTGGTGTGCGGGAGGGGCCTGGTCCCCGCCGGCTCGCAGGTGGCTGGGCCGCCCGCTGTTTGAGGTGGGGGTGCCTGTGACGCCGCGCCTAGGGCTCCACGGGGTCCCGGAGCAGCACCGCGACGTAGCAGGCCGGGGCCTGCTGCAGGCTGCTCTGAGCGCTGACATATCCGTGTCCTTAGGTCCTGTAGTGCTGTAAGGCACGGGTTAATTCAGTTCAGCCCTAATGTCTCTGGTGACCTTTCAGCTGCTGGTGGCACCGCTCTCTCTTAGCATTAAGGGATGGAGAGAAGCTGAAGGCACTTCTTCCCACTATGTGGGAAGCACATATGTGCTAAGGCACATAAATGTGTTTTGGGGAAGGTCAGGCACTTTGTTCAACTTCACATTTGCACAAGCTGATACATTTGCTGGTTCATATTTTTAAAAGTTATTTTCTTTTTTCCCCCCACGTTACGGCAGTGGGCAGTATAAATTCATGTGGGACAGATGTGACTTGTCCTATAGTTTATTGCTATGTAGCTACACTGAGGTATGTTGCATTTTTTTTGAAAAGTAACTCAGGAAAACCTAATATTGGGCTTATGTAAGTTTCATTTTAATAGCAGATAGCAACTGAATTCAGCTACATACCTGACTTCATTACTAACTAATACTCTAACAAAAATTTAACTTAAAAAAACAGAATTTTTATTTTATTTTATTTTATTTTATTTTATTTTATTTTATTTTTAAAGTTAGCCTACTGTTAGAATGCACTGTGCTTGTTTCTTGCAAGAAACTTCTTCATCTACTCTTTTGTTCTATTTCTGATAGATTCTTGTTTGCTGGAAGGTGCATTGCTCCTGTCTGCACAAACGCTGTGGTTCCTTTTTTGTTTTTATCTGCATCCACAGTCAGATATTTCATATTGCAGTATCACGGAATCATTAAGGTTGGAAAAGACCTCTCGGATACGTGAAGTTTTGTCTTTCATGACTATATTTAATATCTGTTAAATCTGGCACTAGTATTCTGCACATTATTACTGACCTTCAATCAATTCTGGTTTGAATAAATTGATTTTTGGCATCCAAAGCCAGTCATACACTTCACATTTCGCATGGTTTTAAAATAAGACTCCTTGTCCTTTTTTATTTTCCTTTTTCATGCAAGTGTGTACTAATGTTTTAATGTCTATAGTTATTTCTTTTAATGATTGCAGTGTTTATCATCTCCCTGTTGCCTTGTTTAATGTATCTTACATGATGTAGTCTAAGAATCTACAGGTTTTATTAGAAGGTGTCTCTATCTCAAGTGGGTAATTCTTCTATTTTCTGCTTCTCTTTTGCCCCTAAATCAGTATTACAGTGAGTTGTGTATTTTTTCAAATGCAGAGTTTCTTTTTGATATTTGGTTTTCACTGCTTATTAGTTATTCAAAATAGAGGTATCCATGTTGTCTAAACATGAGTAATGGAAACTGAATTTTCACAGTGGATTAAAAAAAAAACAAAGAAACAACTTTTGCTCTTTATTTATTTATTTATTTATTTATTCATTCATTTATTTTTTCAGAGGAAGTCTGGAAGGGAAAAGAGAACAGAAGAGTTACAAAGCTCTCTTGGAAGACCCAATGCTGAAATTCTCAGGACTGTATCAAGAGACTTGCTCTGACTTGTATGTAACTTGTCAGGTGTTTGCAGAAGGGAAGCCTCTTGCTCTTCCAGTTAGAACTTCCTACAAAGCTTTTAGCACTAGATGGAAGTAAGTCACTGCCTTTTATTCCATTTATCTATTAGTTATTGAGGCTTCTAGTTAAAGAAGCAATTTGATGTATCTTTTGTTTGCATTAAAAAAAAAAAAAAATCCTAAATCTTTTCTGTTGTTTTCTATAAATTTATTACGTTTCTGTGAGTCTCTGTGTAATTAAGTATCACAAAATTGATTTTTCTGTGTAAAGAGTAAGTAATAATACAATTATTTTTGTTTTTGGGCATGGCTCAATAATTATGTAAGTTTTGCAGCCTGAAATAGCACACTTTTTTGCTGTATACTGGACAAAGATTTTTTTCCTTTGCTGGCCTTTTAATCGCATGGAATGACTCAAAACAACACTTAAATGTTTGAATAATTAAAGCCCATAGGCAGATAGTTAATACGCCCTTCCAAGTGCATAATTTAAGGAGAGCTTAGATTCTGTAAACTACTGTAGGGTGGCTTGAATTCTGAGGTTTCATGACTAATATGAAGTATGTCCTTGCAGCTGGAATGAGTGGCTGAAACTGCCTGTGAAGTATCCAGACCTGCCTCGCAATGCTCAGGTGGCTCTAACCATCTGGGATGTGTATGGACCTGGTAAAGCAGTTCCTGTGGGAGGAACAACAGTCTCGCTCTTTGGGAAATATGGGTATACTGCTATTTCTTTCATGATGCAGACTTGAAGCTCACTTGTGATTAGTAAGGTGCAATAGGAAGTGCATAGATGAAGTCAAAACACAGATTTTTTTAATTTTTTTTTTTTTTTTTTTTTTTTTTTTTTTTTTTTTTTTTTTTTTTTACAAGTAAGCATACATTTTGACGTAGCAAATGCTGAAATAATTTTCTTCTATACTTTTGTAATGCATTAATTTTGGTACCAACTACTTAATTTCTTTAAGTTAATTTTGCAGTTGGACCCTTAACAGAACATTATCCATAAGGAACGAAGTGTGGTTCAAGAAACAAGGAGTCTTCTAGATAAATAATCTATATGATTCAGTGGAGAGTGAGATCAGTAAATTACAGTAGATAACAGGGAGCTGGGAAGAATTACAAGTTAACTGGAAGGTAGCAATGCATGAAATGGATCTTAACTAAGTATAAAGGAGACTGAAAAAAGAACACAGGATACAATTTAAGTATGAGGTACTGATACTCTGTCTCATTGATTGTAGTAAAAAAGTTTCAGGTAAGTTTCTCACAATTGAGAGTCTGAGGGAGTAGATATTGAATATCTAGCAAATGAGTGCGGTGGAGTAGAAGTAAGTAAACATTGGGCTGAAGAAAAGGCCATGAGAATACTTTACTAGTATGTAGACAGTGTTTGAAAGCGGAGCAAATCATTTTGCCAGTACATATGAAGTAATAAGGCTTAGTTGAACCAAGCCAGGTTTAGTTTAGATTTAGGAAACTTGTCCTAGTGATAGTGAACGTGGAAAACGTCTGTAAAAAGAGGTTAACTTTCTTTCATTAAAGATCTTGCTTTGATGAAAAGATTGGTGTTATCTTAGAGTAGAAAAAAAATTGTATTGGACAAAATTTGCCTTTATTTCCAGTGTTTTGGGGAGGGGTTCAGACAGAAATAAATATTTCAGAATTTTCTCTTGGCTTGTAAACTGATAACCTAGTAGCAGGGTAGTGGTAAACTTTCTACAAATCAGTCTGTGATTTTAAGATTAGCTGACTTTCCTGTAGTTAGTGTCTTTTATTTTTAGCTGTGTGACTTCTAACTGTTCCTTCTAGTTGCATTTGCCTGAAGTTCTTAGTTGGTTGGTACCCTCTTCTTGGCAGAAATAATGCATTTGATTTTCTGGAGCATTTTTGTAGATGGATGAATAAAAATATGCAAGGAATGCAAGGGTATGCAGAAGAGAGGTTTAAGTTTTGTTTCAGAGTTCTGCTCATGGCACAGTTTCAACTACCAATTCAATTTCAGGCATAGATGGAGAATTGTATGGTGAGAGTTGTGTTTTTTTCCAGCTGAGAAAGCTGCTTTTTATTAGTTGACCTTCCCATGAAACTTACATCGTTTTTTAGTTAATTTTTTTGTCAGGAAGATCTAAAGTCAATACTGTAATTTGCAAGTCGAGGATTTTTTCTGCTTCATTACAAATAATAAAAAAGTATGAAGGTCAAGCTCTCTCCTCAGTTCATGTTTGTGCCACTCCATTGACTTTGGGAATTATCCATTTTTCTTCCATTTGCCAAGTAAGTTATCTCATATTTGTTTCTTTTAAAGTCCATGTGCCAGTAAAAATGAAGGCCAGAGAGGGCATAAAGCTATAGGCACTTCTACAGTTCAGTTATGTTGTGCATAGCTATGTGTGTTTTTAGGTTTGGCAGAAGAAACTGTTCGTTTTCTTGCATCTGCTGCTGCACTTTGGTTCTTGCTATCTAATTAGCTGAAATAATACTGCATTTTTCTCTCTAGTATGTTTCGTCAAGGAATGCATGATTTGAAAGTCTGGCCCAATGTAGAAGCTGATGGCTCGGAACCCACCAGAACTCCTGGGAGAACGAGCAGTACAGTCTCTGAAGATCAAATGAGCCGCTTGGCAAAGGTAATGGAATACTGACCTTTAAGATGTGCATGGAAAGTTTGCTCTGTATTGGAGTGAAATGAAGAGAGACTTTAATGAAGACAAGGTTTCAGTGGTGTTTTTTCCTGTAAAAATTGTCTGCCTTTAATTGCTTTGATAAGTCAGAGAATTTACTCAAAGAAACAAATAAACTCACCACAAGTATATTCTTTGAAATAGGACACAAATACTTATACTGGTATAAGAAACTTAATGTATCTGACATACTGTTAAAGCAACTTTTAAATCCTAATTCTTTATAAATAGTGAAAATACCAATGTAACTTGATGCTTGAAGCTAAAACTCTTACCTGTTTCAGTCCTAAGAGCAGCTTGTGAAAGCAAGTCAAGTTTCCTTCCTTGTAGCCATCCTTTGAAATTTAAGACTGTCTGGTGTAGTGTTCAGAAATGTATGACTTGCCTCTGCATTAGAAAGAGTTTTAGTAGACTTAAAAAAATTAACCAGATTTGCTTTAGCTTTAGATCACACGTAGCTGTCCACATGAATATTTTCTCCTTCTAGCTTGTTGACAGACTGTATTTTTGCTGTGAAAACTACTTCTGGAACTCAATACAGTTGAGTAGTAGTAGCAGTTCAGTTCTTGAACTGCTTAAGTAGCTGGTGACACTCCTTAGATGAGCTTATACTAAGCTTACCAGATATCTCAACTCCTCTTTATTGGTGTACTTTCATCTTAATTTTGGTTACCCAGCTTTCATCTTCACCTTTTTTAAAGCTCTATGTGAAAGAAAGGTCTAGTGCCATAAATATGTCTGTTCTTCATGTAGAAATTTATAATAGCAATAAACTAGCTTGCATTTGCAGTCTATTCTATTAGTCTAGATCACCTTGAATTTATACTGTGAAACTCATAATAAATATTTTATGAGTTGTAGGAAGGAGGTTGTTATAAATGTTCGGTGATGCTTTGACCCACAAGAACCTTGTGATGCAAAGTAACAGCTTTTTGAGTAAGGTTTAGAAGTGAGATACTTGCATAACTAAATAATGATTTTTGTTGAGAGTTCAAACCTATAGCTAGTGTTTCAAATAACATTCTAAAGAAAAGAAACATTGTAAGTTTGAGTTTGAAAAGGAGTAGAAGATCTTAAGGTTTTGATATGCACCACAGACACAAATTAATTTTTTCTTCATTTTAGACTTAATTTTTTCTTGAGTTAGTATAATTGCATATTCTTGTTCTGCTTAAATGTATCTGTGCAAAGCTTTCTGTAAGCCTCATCTTTTGTGGCAGTAGAATAAAACCCCTTGAGAGGAGGGACGCTCTGTAGACAGGCCGTACAGATCAAGATTTTCTTTTTGTAGTTTATTACATGATAGGTGATGTAGGTAGTGGGTCTTGAACAAAGATAGTAGTGTAGGTCTTCATTTTCATGTTAGCTTGTGCAGCACCATACCAACATTTTTCCTCCTCTTCATTCCTAGGTGCTTCCTAGCTCAAGAGACACAAATAACAGAGTACTTCAGTCTCCGAAATACGTGTGTCTGTTCTAGCCTGTTCTTTTGGCAGCTAGGATTGGAGGGCCTAAAGCTGTCAAAGAGGTTGACGAAATTCTCCTTTCACATCCCAAATAAGAATTCTAATTAATGGCTAGGAAATGGCTTTCAGCATTGCTAAGAGCATCTCCTCTAAGCTGTGTTTTGGAGATGCTAATTCCAAAAAGATTTAGAAACTGTTGTTTTCAGTGGTATTTTGTTGTGTTCCTTTATAAAAATATTTTATCCGCAGGTGCTCACAGAGTGAACAAAGTTCCTGTGTAGCGTCCGCAAAAGCCTTCATTTGCACAGCTGTTTCCATAGCAGATGAGATGCTTGTGATGTATTATTCCTAAATAGTTGTTTTAATATAGTCTGTTTCAGTTTTTCCTTTCACTTGCTCATCAGTTACTGAATACCATCTTTTGATGCTGTATCGGAAGGTACATTAAATGTACTTAAGAATAGTAGGACAGATTAAATACAAGATGAAATCGCACAAGCTTTTTTGCTCTTGATTACTTCTTAGAGGTGGTTCTTCATGTTACCTATTGGAAAGATGTATGATTTGTAACTGTCATGGTACTTTTTAACATCTGATATCAGATGCCAAATTAGTCCTACAGATAGTAGTAAATAACTTTAGAGAAGAGCTTGGTTGAGAAATTTTTTTCTGTCTAGATCTTTTTTCTTGACATCCTTCTGAATTTTGTATATATGTGGGTGGTATTTGTTATTATAGAAAATTAATCTGTTACACATGATGGATTACTTTATTCTACATAAACAAAAGGTACTCTAAGTTCTTTTTGATCCATTAATTTCCTTCTTCTGTTAGCTGAAATTATCTAATTATGGCACTAATATAGCATTTAAAGGGATACATCTTAGGTAGTAGCAGAAGATTAATGCTTCTTTCTTTGAAGAGACTCTAATTCTAAACTTTTAATTTAAGGGAGAAGTTCTTCAAGTACTTATTCACCAACAGAGTCTTATATGCTGGCATAACTATCATAACTAACATAATATCTTTTGACTTTTTTTGTTTCCTGTTGAAAGAAAAATGTGGAGATTTGAGACTAATATTTTTCCAGTAAAATACAGAATTACTTATTTCCCTTATTCTCTAGTGCAGTGAAACTAAAAATTGACAGAACTACTTAAATAACTTATTTGGATCTTTTTAGCCAAGGTTTTGGCAATGGCTGTCGTAAACCTATGAGAGTGCTGGATGTGAATATATGATATGCTGAAGTGCTGGTATAGGGTGATAAAAATAGGGCTACATTGGGTAAGAAGAGTACTTTTGTTAGTTAAGGGGGGAAAAATGAACATAGTTTGGAAGTTGTTGAAATGAGGGATGTAAGTGTAAGGAATTTAAGGAACTTATACTGTTGTTGAGGATGAGTAGAACTTGTGGACTTGATAGGATGTTTACAAAGGCATTAAATGATGGTATCTAGCCTGCCTTAGAAAATGTGGGTTATAACACGTTTGCATGCTGTTGATTCTCTTCCAATGGAATATATTATCAAATGTATATGAGTCAAAGGCAGCTGTTGTGTTAAACTTTGAGTACTGTTCTGGTGCACATTGCCTTCAAACTGTCCAGAATCAAGGGTAACCCATTCCAAAGCAGGAGGAATGAAATGAATGAATAACCTGAAAGTTCTCGTCTGATTTTTTTCTGTGTTTCTATAAGCTTCATTGAGTTTTAGGGAAAGTACATGTAAAAAATTACTGCCTTGATGGGCAGGGGAGAGCAGTGAATATCTTGTCTTTAGCGAGTCCTTTGGTACGTTCTTCTGTAACATTATTGCAATAGAAACTAAATGGACGTGGAGGTGGAAGGAAAGCTGGCAGAAGTGTCAGGAGAAGACGTTCAACAGTAGCAACAGGAAGTCCAACTGGATGCCAGCTATGAACAGTGTGCTGTAGAAAACAGTACTGGTCCCAGTGCTTTTTAACATGTCCTTAATGACATGGGTGTAATGGCTGAGCACATCTTCTGCAAATTCGGAGGTAATACAAAACTCCCAAGCAGCTGATATACTGGATGGTTGTGCAGCTGTTCAGAGGGGCCTCAACAGACTGGAAAAATAGGCCTATGATTCCTATAAAGGAACTTCAAAAAGGCTTTAAAAATGTTTTGCAAGGTGTTCTGCCTTTACAAGTGCTGGAATAGGGTCCCCAGGGGAGGTGGTTGAGTCACTATCTCTAGATATGTTTAAAAACGATTTAGATGTGGTGCTCAGGGACATGATTTAGCAGAGGGTTGTTAGTTAGGATAGTATGGTTAGGTTGTGCTTGGACTCGATGATCTTTAAGGTCTTTTCCAACCTGAGTGATTCTGTGATTCTGTACAGCAAAGCTGCACAGCAGCAGTGTCCTGGACTGTATTAGGAAACAGTGGTAGCAGGTCAAGGGATTGTGGCACTGATGAGATGTATCTGAAGTGTAGAGTTCATTTATGGCCTTATAGTGAGGAAAAGAGATTACTCTATTGGGGTGAGTACAGTGATGGATCGCAAAGATAATTTGGGGCTTCAAGCATCTGTCATTCAAGGATGGCTTAGGAACTATGGTAGTTTAGAGAAGGCACAAGCAGTTTATATGTACAAGAGGGAGCAAAGACAAAACCAGATCTCTGGGTACAAAACTGAAACAGGAAATTCCATTTAAATATGAGAAACTTTTTGTTGTGAGGTTGATCAAAGCTGGAATAGATTGAGAGAGATTGTGAAGTGTGTCTTTGTTGATGCTCATAACCTGACTGCACTTGTCTTGTGCAACCTGCAGTCAGTTAATGTACTTTGAGACTGTACAATTTCCAGAGTCCTTCAGCCATGCTCTTTGGCTCTGAATAGAAGATTTTGGCAGGTGAGAATGTTATTGGAGAGGCAAAGAATTGGGACATTGATGAGAAGGCAGGTAGAATGGCAGCTTCGCTGTGTCTTGGGAAATAGCAGCTAAGCAGAGAGACTTCTCCTTTTCTTCATTTCACTAGGCTTCCTGAAGTACTGGCTTCCTGAAGTACTTGCCTAAAAAGGAAGAAAATTAGCTCTGTAACTTCACTGATCTTATTGTATAAATCTCAGTTTGTAAACTTGCTTTGGTGAAACAAACAAAGGCACACTTCATTCAGTTTGGAATGAAATACCAAATCAAACAAAACAAAGGTAAGTTTTACCATATGAAAACAAATAACTAAGATAAACAGTGTTTTTGTTATCTGACTGCTTAAAAAACAGTTTCCTATTTTTTAATGCTTGATGTGCTTAGAGATCTCATGCTTGTAACATGCTTTTGTCTTTGCCTTGATTTTTTTGAGATATTAGAAGTATTGTGTCACGGCTTAGCAGTTTACAAAGAACTACTGTATGCACAAGCATTTCATCTATTAGTGCCTCTGCAAAATTGATATTCTTTTTGTTAGTACCAACAATTTCAAAATTAGTCTTGTGTTCTTCTATGCAGCTCACTAAGTCTCATCGACAAGGTCACATGGTGAAAGTGGACTGGCTGGACAGACTGACCTTTAGAGAAATAGAAATGATCAATGAGGTAGGTCATTTTACATCAGAGTTGCACTTTTTTTTTTTTTTTTTTTTTTTTCCAGATCTTGCTAATGTGGACTGTTCACTTAGGAGAGAAACTTGTCTTATTTTTCATCAACTGATATGATGGTGTATATGATAAAAGAAAAAATAATTCTTTGCACTTCTAATTTGAACTTGACATGGGCAGTTAATAAATAGAAAACTATCTTAGTTGTCAACTTCAAGTGACTTATATTTATTAATAATTTGTGATAGCTTGGAACAAATGTTTAAGGGTTTGGTTAACTTAATTCTAGGATTTGTGTTGTGATGGGAAGCTTATTTGGCCATACAGGCTGTTCCTTGGCTTTTGACCTATTCAGCTTTATTGTTTTTGATTAAGGTTTGAGTGAATTTAAAATACAATAACAAACAAGATAGACCTCTAAATAACTACGGCACCTGAATGCGGTGTTACAAGCTCAGTGAGTAAAATCACTAACTGATTATTCTCATCTTGCACAACAAAACTCCTTTGTTTTCTGATTTGTGCTCCGAGACTTGCATTAAGACATCTGAGACTCGGATTCCTTTGCAATATATATATATATAACCATTTACTAGTCTTTATGAGATTTCAATGCATCCCACATTAGAAATGGATATTGTTTTGCTTTCTCTCTGTTACAATACCTAAAATTCAGCATCCTTTATTGCTAGACCTACTACTTAAGTATAGAATGCCTTTGCCTGTGCTGGCAAGTCCAACTTAATATTGATACATTAAATGAGCTTGAGTTGCTTGCTCTTAAAGGTTCTACTTTTTTAAAATAAAATATATGAGGAAGATTACATATAATTTCTTTATTCTTTCCTATCAGAATTTTAAAATTCTAAACACTTACTAAATAAAGATTTGAAAAATACATACGTGAGCAAATCTTTTTCTGAAAGTGAATGAGCAGCAAATCTAACCTTAGTCCAAGTTTTATTTGTTCCTTTCATTGTTCCATCTAAAATGTTGTTTTTTTTTCATGTCTTCTTGATTTTGACTGACATGCATAATTATATGTAAGCATTTAAAAAAACGCAAACAACTGGTTATTTTTTGTTGCTTTTTTGCTGACCTTTAGGTTCACAATTGCAGGCCACTGATGAAAACTATGTATTTTGTTTACTTCTGAATGTTAATTGTGATTGTGTAGGGATGTAAAGAAGCAAGCATGCCAGGAAAGGTCTCAAATAGTGTGATGAAATGATTAACTTAATAATTGTTTCAACAACTGATAATCTAATTAGTTATGGCACAAAGAAAGAGTAATTGCTGTGCTGAGAATGCTGAAGATTGGTACTCTTTAATATGATACACATCTGTGGTGGTTCTCTTCTCAGAGGGAAAAACGAAGTTCTAATTTCATGTACCTGATGATTGAATTCCGTTGCGTCAAGAGTGATGATAAAGAATATGGAATAGTTTACTACGAAAAGGTATGTGCCTTGCAGACTTTACGGTTGTCTTTAAAAAGCAGTGTGTGCACCTTAAATGGATTTTTTTTTTTCCACTGAGTTGAAATATTCTGCTGCAGGATAGAAGCAGGCATCTGTCAGTGGCAGCTGTTTATGTACATACAAATCAAATGGTATAGATGCAATGAGATTACAGAAGTTAATCATTCATGCAACAGTTGAAGATTACAGGAATTTCTAAATGTGAGTGATGAAAAAGTTTTTGATTTATTGTTCCTTCAGTCAACCAGTGGTACTTTCAATGTACCTGTAGGTAAAATTGGCTCCCATCAAGAAGAGATATACCTGCGTTGACTGGTAATTTTATAAAAGGTAAGTTATTAAAAACTTGGCACAGGTGCTCTCCTTGTGAATATTTGCTTGAAAATAAACAAGTAGGTTTACCCTTTAATGCTAAAAATATTTTGAAAGTAAATTTAGCAGAAAACTTCTGGATTGAAATATCTTTCATCTTTTCTTTCTGTTTACAAAACAGATCTCCGGTGTAGTAACTGATGTTGGTGACTTTATTATCGTTCTTGCCAAGAAAAATTGTATGTAGGTATAGATAACAAAATACCATTCTCTAAACAGTATCCCTGAATACTTTCAATTTATGTAGAGAAATTTTTCAGTGTCATTAATTTCTCGCTTTTCAAGTTTTTTATTCTGTAGTATCCAGAAAAATATCTTTAAAAGTAGGTGTTTAAAAAGATAAATGCATAAGATCATAGCGAGACATTTGAGAAGTAACAGCAGGATTGTGAGTTCAAATTTAGGGGAAGAGAGGATTGGCAGTGATAGGCAGCATTGGCGTTTTACTCCAAGGACTGGAGCATCTTCCCTGTGAGCACAGGCTGAGAGAGCTGGGGCTCTTCGGCCTTGAGAGGAGAGGGCTCTGACCTTTAGTGGTCCAGTACCTGAAGGGGCCTACTGGAAAGCGGGGGGAAGGACTTTTTGGAAAGGCATATAGTGATAGGATGAGAGGAAAAAGCTTTAAACTGGAAGAGAGTAGACTTAGACTAGATATCAGAAGGAAATTCTTTACTGTGAGGATGGTGAGGCACTGGAAGAGGTTGCCTAGAGAGGCTGCTTATGCCCCCTTTCTGGAGGCGTCCAAGGCCAGGGTGGATGAGATTTATTTTTTTTCTGGAGAGCACAATGGAACCACAATGAAAACATTGAAACACTAACAATTGTTCTTGCACTAGGTTAAGATCCTAAATCAGATTCTGTACTTGTCATAGGTACAAAATAATAAACATCGTTAACACAGCTTTGTATTGACTTGGCTTTTTTAGTTTTGTAGTTGAATGTGATGTTCCTAAAAATGGTTTCTCTCTCTACCTCCAGAAATGTACTGTTATAGCTTATTTATGTGCACTATTTTTTGTTCAGTCATTGTTATGGTTTTACAAGTATCAAAAGTGAGGGAAGAAGACTCAGACTTTAAACATGCATCTGTTTCTTTGCCGATTTTTCTGAAATATATTAGAAATGCACAGAACAAAATAACTATAGATTGTCTGGTTTTTGGAAATGATGTATTCGGTTGTATAATAGTATATATCAAAGCTCAAACTGCAGTTACTTGTAGGAGTTTGTTATTATAAAGTAGCTTTTCAACACATTATTGACCTCTTTCCTGGCAGCAGTAGGAAAGAGTACATAAATTAGTGCCTGTCTTCTCAGTTTTTTCATACCTTCAATTACAGCATATAGTATACATATCCAGTATATTGAAACTAGGTTCTGTTGTCACTTGTCTCTGACCGATAGGCAAAGTGGAGATTACTTGTCAGAATTTTGTTGATGAATTTGTTTACTGCGCTGTTAAAGAATCTCAATTCTAGCATCCCCTGCTTGACTCAACCTTCAAGTACAATGGAGTAAGGTAGCAGTGATCGCTTTCATGTTCTCTGTTAATTTTAATACAACATTTGTGATGGGAAGGTTAACAGTCTGTTAGTAACAATAGCATTACTTCTGATTCTCCACTTAGGGAAAATTCAGTGTGATTTTTTCCAAATGCGAATAACAACGTTTTTCTTCAATACATATAACCTTGTGGTAGTTTCAAATGAAACCTTTGTTTAAGTAAATTGATTGCACTAAAGCATGCAATTAAAAAAAAAAAACAAAAACAAAAACAAAACTTCATTATCTGTGAAAGCTGTTTTCATGGCTTGAAAGATGATGGTAGTATAGAGTAAGGTTAATAGACCTTACTTATTGGTGTTGTGAAACCTCATTACACGAGGATGATCAGGAAGGATATTTTTGAAAGCATGCACCTGACCAAATTCAAGTGCTAATTTGGGTTTGACTCTCAGACACTGATATAGTTTAGTAAGTTTGTATGATAAGCATGAGCCAAATGGTGTTTTCAAGATATGACACGGAATTAGAACCAAGTGCTAAGTAATTGAAAGGCATAGAAAACTGCTGACTTCCTTCACAGGAAGACTAACTGACAAAGTAGTCTGTTCTGGATAGTAACTTGGCCCATGTATGCTTTTGCAAAACTTGATTCAGCAGCAAGATCGAACTTACAGTTTAGGTTTAAACCAGAGTTTTCCTGGTACATGAGCAGAATAGCCAGAACTCTTCAGCATTATGTATTTGAGAGGAGGTAGTTAAAGGTGTCATTGTAGGTCTTCAGGGATTTAAGAGGCAGTGTGTTAGAAATAAAATCTAGTTTCTCAATTCGAAGACATTGTGAACATTATGACATTGGTCACTTGAAAGTATGGTGCCTTTTTAAAATTCTGTTTTGTGCATACGTAAACTTTTGTCAGTTCTAATTCTCATCCTTGTAACTAATCACTGTGATAGGCTTTTCTTTGTGGAGTCCAATTTTAGAAGTCTAAAAGCTTTGTCAGAATTTACAGCTGCCTATTTTATCTGAAAGTTTTCAGAGAGGAAGATGTAATAGTATGAGCATTATTACTGCCCACCCCCGGGGAATCCACCTGGATCTCAATGTTACAAATGCTTCAGCAGGAGTTTTGAATGTCTGTTAGTTGCTGTTATATACACTGCTGAGTCAGGTTTTTCTGCATTGATTTATGTGAGGGGTCCACACTAAGTGAGGTGTTATTTGTCACTGGGGTATTTGTATTTCTTTATTACTTTATGAGAGCCACATCTGATTGCAGTCTTTTTACGATTCTGATTAGAAACATAACTGATGAGATGATAGAACTTGATCTGTGATTATTTATTGTCAAATTTTATTTTTGATGGATTTTCCTGCCAAAGCATGACTCATTAATATTTCGTTGTTCTTACCTAATATCAGTAACTCATGATCTGAAAGTTGCTTCCAGCGTTGTGACAAAAGTTTTAGTACAGTAGGAATGCTGGTCTGTCAGTCTAGCTCCTACTCTATTCATTTCCTGTTACACTGACACAGAAGTGTTTAGCTATAATGAAGCTACTTCAGAATTACTATTTTCATACTATGTAGATAATGCTAAGTACATTATTTAGGGGATGTTCTTTTAAAATAAAATGTAAACAAATGCCCTATTAAGTGTTAGTATGTATGCTTTTTAGAAATCTCATGGGAAGAGAAATTTTGTTTCTGTTCTCGGATCATCTGTCACGGCCAGATTTTGGATGCATGCTAACTTTGACTAGAAGGGATGTATATGTGGTTAATGCCATTACTTTTCAAATTCAGAAAGGTATAGGAAAACAGTAAATGTGGAAGTGTCTTGAAAGTGCTTATTTTAGTAATAGTCAGCAACATATGAATTTACATAGTTTTAAAAAGTATTTCCCATGAAAGAATGTTAGAAATATTAATTTTTGTTTCTTGTTGGTGTCAGTTAGGTAATTTTCCCCCCTTGATATAAGTTCCTCATTTCTTTGAAAGTTAATTCTGAAAAAAAACATAAGGTATATAAAGAATCAGATTACTGAGGGAAGTGCTGATATAGAAAAAATGTATATTCTTGGTTGATCTGAAATGTCCATTTCTCTTAAAATGAAACTGAACCTACCTTAACTAAAGTGCTTAGCTTTTAGATTTATGTGTTACACTTGAAAATCCAGTGAAGCTTTAGTTTTCTCAGCTAATGCTGCACGTCTTTACCAGGTCTACCAGTTCTTTCCTCTGTGTATCTCTGATGCCTCTGTAAATTGTGGAGAGTAAAGATACAGTAAAGATAGAAAAAATAAAGTGATGAAAACAGTGGGAAGATTGATTGTTAGCAGTAGCCTTTTGATTAAACCCTTGGCTGAATTTTTAAATGTGAAAATGTAGATTGGGAAATAATTCCAGTAGGTGTTTTTAGTCCCTGCTTATCTTTGAAAATGTGGATAAACGTTTGATTCAGTCTTTGGAAGTTCTGCCATTATTACTTCTGTCCTATTTGATCATCCTGACTTGAGATATTTCTGTTAGGATTCATTATTCTGATCTGCTACATACTAACTGAGAAGAGACTTACTGAAGTATCACTTATTATACTGACTTTTTTTGTGTGATATTTTTTTCTTTTTCTTTTTCTTTTTTTTTTTTTTTTTTGGTCTTAAATATTTTTTAGGTCATGTGAATTAATACTAGGTTCCACTTCTGTAGTTTCAAAAAAAAAAAAAAAAAAAAGAAAAACTAAACTGTTGGACATTAATAAAAAGGAAGACAATTACTGGATTTGATCTGATGGTGGTGGGCTTAATTTTTACCTTCTGATGGGTTCAAAGAAAATATTTTGCTTCTCTTATGTTATTTATGGAGCCACAGATTTCCCTAAGTTAAACTGACTGCTGTCGTTCTGCTCAGAACAGCGCAGCGTAAACTTCCACAAGAGACTGTGATGTAGGCTGTGATGTTATACATCTATTGTGATACGGAATCAACAACAGATATAGAGATATATATATGTATGTATATATGTATGTATATATATATATTATTATTTTAATAATTTAATATTTTTAATAAAAATATTTTAATATATTTTAAAATATTTAAATAAAATATAAAATATATAAAAATATATTTAAAATAGAATTTTAAAAAATTTTAAT